CTCGCTTATTCTATCTTTTCGTCTTAGCTATCATCATCATCTTCTTCTTCTTCATCATCATCATCATCATTGGCTTCTTTTTCTCTGCATAGCAAAGTGCAGAGCTTGACCAGCCAGTCGTCCTTTTTGCTTGGCATCCGTTATCCGCATCCGGCTACCTAAGTTATATCAAAACTATTGGAAAACGTGGTAAAAAGGTGGCAGTGGTTGACAGCCAAGGATTGGCAAGCCTACTGCGGCTATGCTCGTTGCTGTTGCTGTTGCTGCTGGCACTGCAGCGGTACCAGCAGATTCTCTTGCCTGTTAGTTCAGTGTAGCGGTAACGCCTTGAACGCAGTCTTCATTCCCCCCGACTACCATTCGAGCCTGGACATCCGCTGGTGGCGGAGGGCAGGAAGGGGGTTGGGAGAAAATAGTCGCATTGCAGGGCTCCCTTGTCATCAGCCCTGTAGCTGACCTCCTGTTCTGCCCTATCTATTGCGTGTCCGTGTTTCTTCCTTCTCTCTTGTAACCTTTTTCACCAATTCGAGCTACCCGACGGTATGTTGCCTGCAGCCGAGCGCTGTGCAACTTTCTATAGGTTTAAGTCAATAACGGACCTCTCACGACCGCACGGAGCTTCGCACAGACATATAAATACGCGATTCATTGAACAAATCTTGTGCCCCTTATTAAAGAACATACAATTTGTGATCAATCTTAACAGCAACAGAACTCGTGACATTCAACTAGCTAGCTAGCATTCGCTTAAGAGACGTGTCTTTAGGCATCTGCATCGTATTTAGTCATATCCGTGCGTGTGCCTCTGTGCGCGACACCCAATTTTACAAAACGAAACGACATTAAAAGCAGCAGCGATGCCGCACAACAACCCCCTACTACGCCTTTAACTTCGTGGTTTTCTAGTTCGCATCACCACCGAGAGCTAACAACAATTCTTACTAGCCTACAGACAGAGCTATACGTGTATATACTTAGATATTTATCAACGGAGTTAGGATCTGAACGTCAATTGCAGTTGAACACGACGCTACACGTAAATAATGAAATAATCATAATAACAACAGTCGCGGGAGCTGGTTGAATTTACTAGCATTCAATCGGTTGGCGCTAGCTGTGACGCCGGTAGATGCTGTTCTGCGGAGCAGCTTCGGCGGCACTTAATCACGATGTTTCAAAAGGGTATCAAAGACTCTTGGTGTTGCTGTAGACGGCATCGCGGCACAACTTGCCACTCGTCTGCCTTCCAGCGAACCGGGCCTCATATGCAAAACTGGCGCCGCTGGCCGCTGTTCCCGTTGGATTACGCAGTCATCATTCAGTCAGCGAAACCGGAACTCACACACTAGCATTTTCACGACTTTCGATCATCACCAGTTACGATAGGCTTAGGCAAAGTCACTGGTACCAACTACCGATTACCAATGCTTAGTGATGATGCCGAGGTATGAATGCCGATCACGCATGTCGCTAACGATCCTTCAGTACGGTTCTCTAGTTCGTCTTTTCCGAAATTGCGTATTTTCTGCCACTCGTATTGGTTATCGTATTCTCTTATGATGGCCACTGTTAAACAAACAGAATACAAATATGTATGTACCTACACATGACTCAAGAGTCACAGCGTCGAGCAGTGCCGCACAAACCCCTATTGAAACCTATCGCACTAGAGCCTGACGGCGAGAGCCGGATACGTTTAAAACGTTTTTCTTTGCAGTGAAAAAGATAGCTACAGCAAATTGCGGTACAATACACGAATAGACGACGAAGCCATCAATGAGATTCCAGCTAGGATATCGTACAAGTTATTGACCTGGAGATTTTAGCAGCTGTTCTGTCGACAAAATTTATATTGAATAGATTCACTATCTAGACTAGATGTAGTATATAGGCTAAATACATCGTTTCACAAACCGTTATTCGGCATCGTCCGTCGCGATAACTATAGTGACACCGAGGACAAACGAAGTATAATTACGGTACTGAGCTGTTCATTTTCTACAAAGACACTAAGTTTCAATACTTGAAGCGAATGGCTGACTGATCCGTGACAACACTGGCAGCGCTGTGATAGACAAGTACATCACCTCGGACAGCAAGTGGTACAGCATATAATTACACAAGTATTGTACAATCATATGATGATTCTCCTGTTCAAATACAAACGTCTATGTCTTACAGTGTCCTAAACCGGTATCACTTAATTCGATATAACGTTATAGCGATACGACTTGGTTCAAACGACTTTCAAATTTGGAGGTCAGTACACAAGGCTGTAGGTACTCGGACCAATTCGCTTCCCGCTGTTAAATTAATAGCCGAAAATCAACCAGAGACCACCAGGCATCAACGTTGCGAGCATTTTTAGTTATGACCAGTTCCAATAGTCTCAAAGTAAAAAATATCATAGTCGAAGAAACTATGGAAAGAGAAGCCTAATCAACTCTGCACGCTCGTAATCAGAACAAAAGTTTTTACCACAGAACTTAGCTATAAGTTTGTACTCCAATGATGGCCATTTTTAGCTGCAATAGCATTTTCAACAACTCGTATTCATCCGCCATTGAGGTCGAAGAACTGCTTAGGCTAAATACGACGCGTACTTTGGAGCTAAGAATAACGCTAAAGGGAAGCTGGGTCAAGTTTAAGGATGGTATTTTCAACCGAACGAACGCACTCCACTCATCGAGGAGCACTATGAAGAAGGATGATACATAAACCTACATCTTTCGATAACGAAGTCTTCACAGTACACGGACAAAATATTCTGGGCTAATTTTGCAGTTTTTTTTAATTTAGAAATGAAACTTGTGTCGAAGACGCCGTTTCTACCACCCGACATGCAAACCTTTCGAGTCCGAATGTAAAATAATACGTAAATGTTTTTTTATTTGTAAAACCGATGACAATATTCCTATAGAGCATTCGATCGGCATGAAAAACAAGCGGAAAAAATACGCAACAAACACACGTGGGCTTCACTAAATAGGTAAGACATGGAAGAATGTGCCGACTTCTACTCAAAACTACTTCATCTTGAAGCCGAACTATATTTGCTCTGCATACACGCCTAGTGTCCATAAGAACTCGTCAGGTAACCAGCAGACCCTTTTGCCCTGATACAAAGGATCCACACCGTTTCACTTTCTTTTCATGGCGTGTTCCAATTTCTCCTTAAACAAATAAGTATGCCAATAACCAAGTAAAAGTGCTGATAGTGGACCTACATACAGAACAGTCGTTGGGATACAAAAAAAAATGTTCAGGCGATTAATGTCGAATATAAAAAAAGCAGTGAACTTTTTAATAATCATAATAATTCACTTAATCAGAATTAATCAACAAAGCTTTTGTAAAAAAAGGTTACAACCTGATTTTAGATCTCTATCGAATGGACGAAAATGTTCACCTCATTATTTGTCGTCCTACCCAGAACAGAACCTTGGTAAAATACTTTTTGCCAAAGTACATGGTTAGCTCAGAATAACTCAGAACGTCTTAGAAAATACATATTGGAGCCATTACGCTGTAATCGGCAAAAAAACCTCGCTCGATCCATTTTTTCCATAGAAGGTATGTCAACTCAATGTTTATACTCAGAAAGAAGCTTGTCACTGCCCGACATCTATCACCTACGTGCAATGCACGCAAAGTCTTATTATATTGTTTGCTTCGATATTCGATACAATCGATACATCGTCTTATGGGGCTCTGGGAGATCGTCCTCGCTGCTTTGCAAGTTATGTTTTTTATATTTCGCGTGCACATCATAGGGTATTTTTAGTTGTCGTTTCCATCCCGTACTTCGACTCAAAATGAAGCCAAGCAAGATGAATAGTGATTTCCGATCGGAAATCACTTGTATCCCTTTTTGAATATTTCCTGTTTGATGACGCTGTTACGTGCCATCGTCCAGTTAATATCAAGCGTACATTATGCTATGCGGCTTGACACGACGGCGGTGGCGGTGATTGTTCGATTTATTAAGCGACGTCAGAACGTCATTTCGCATAAGTAAATAAACACCTTTCCAAGCCCCATTTCTCCCCTTCCATTCTAAGCTTATCACACTGCTGTCCCCTTTAACGTCGTCCCTTCCGTAAGACGGACAGCGACAAAGGCGACCATGAGAAAGCAAAATACGCTAGGCACCTCCAGAGATTTGACCCCCAGTCTCTTCGCGCCCATAAGGATATGCACACCGTATTCAATATCTTGATGCTAAAGAAAAACAGACAGATAGCGAAATTGGCCCGAATGTGTGTATATATGCTGTTCTAAACAAACGGTACACAAATAGCCTTCGTCACTAATTATAATAATAACATAGCAATAAGCAGATGACGTTTGGCCACACATGATAATGAACCGACATGAATTTCAATGAATTGATTTCGAATATACAAAAAGCAGTGAACTTTTTAATAATCATAATAATTCACTTGATCAGAATTAATCAACAAAGCGTTTGTAAAAAAAAGGGCATAGGGAAATTCAATCAATGCCACATTTGTCAGCGCTGTCAAATCACAATTTTTGTTTATTTTAGAAATCAGTGTTGCAGCATAAAAAATTCAGCAGACGATTTTGCAGCCAAACGTCAAAGCCAAAGAAAGAAAATTCGTCACACTGAGTCTTGACGAAAAAAAGTTTTTTTAAACGAAATGTTCTTCGCGCAGTCACGATAGGGCAAATAAAAATGCACGTTAGGCGGAATAGAGCATCCGATGTGTAAAGTAATAGCTTTATGTACGGACGCTCGATGTAACTTTGTCAGAACTGTACATATACTTTGTTGCTTTGACAGGATGACAACAATTGTCTGAGTGATTTTTTTTTATTCAATGCGCTTAACTTTAATGTTTGATTATTGGCTTGCAGTTGCAAAATAATGAAATAGGAACATAGGAATCAGGCCAAGTGAGCTTGCACTCTTTTGTCATGCTGAACCTATAATAGCGGTAGGCTAGGTCGAGCTCTCATTCATACGTAGTACTAACCAGACGGCTATTGTTCCAAAGTACTTCATTTTATCGGGTACTTTCGTATGCCTTCGGTAGGATTGTCGTCGTAGTGTATCCACTTTATGCCGAGTGTCACTGACCAATTCCAAACACCGCCAACCAAGGGACGAAATAGCAATGTGTTACCTTTCTAATCGATTGCCGATTTCCACCACCGGCTAATTTGCACTGTGGTCTGTGAGATAGGTAATACTATTATTATTACAGCAGTAGACACTTGCAAGCTGCGGACGCTGATGGACGAGTGCAAGCGTTACAGCTTCAACGATATCAAAAACAAACCTTCCATGTTGTTGTGCTTAGGCATGACGTGATACAGCTTATAAGTGACAAACTTCACCACTAACACACATCGGAATCTGCAGGTAAAGCCACGAACATCTTAGCCTTGTCCTGTGTTCGAAATGTTCAATGATTCCACGCTTCGGTAAACAGAACTAGATCAGGCCAGATTCGACTGAGCTATTGTGCTCCGCTGAAGTCGCACACCAGAAGCGGTCGAAACACATTACACTCGGATTCCTGAATCGGTGACTGTTGTTCTTGTCGGCGTCGTTAAACAAAGGGTATGCGTCTACGACTCGATAACGGCGCTTGATTGATTTATCCACAGTGCCAAGAGCGGCGAAAGGAACAAACAACGCCCACGAGCTGGAGAAGATAAACGAAGATGAAAATCCGAAATCTCTGATAGCTCCTGCCAGACCTGCTTTCGGCCAGACAGAAAACCTCCTCCCTCTAGCGCACGGAGAACATGAACGGCACCCAAATTGCGATAGACATTTCAGTCGACCCGACACACCGCAGAACTAAACCATAAAAGAGATTCGTTTACTCGACCCTAGAGAGTTCGTATTCAAGCTCGCTTGTTCGCTTTGATGGCGCGGGCGCTGCGACGTTTACGTTGATGCAGCACCGACGCCTCCGCTAATCGATGCTAACACCAGCCGCCGTACGGACCACACCACGGCCAAAACACGCAACGACCCGGAGTTGGTCGCCCGCTTGTACATCAGGCAAGTTGTCACTCCGACTGAAGGCTAGTTAGATAACGCTTGTGCTGCCCGCCATGCCAGATGATGGAAAGGGCAACAGTAGCTCTGCTGCTTCTCGTGAGAGAGGGAACAACGCCATTATAGCAATGGAGCTCAACAACAATAATAATGCTCCCTAAAGCAACAACAACGACGACGACGACGACGACGACGACGACTAGTGCTATCGCGGAAACAACAGCAGGAATAACGGTAACACGCTGCAACCGGACTACGTAGACGGGCTAATCAACCTAGCTGGTTGAGGAACAGATGAAGACTGGAACAAGCCGGCTAATAGTTGTAATTAGCTCTTGAATTTGGATGCAAGTCAATCATGTCGATTCCCACATAAACCGTCATCGCTAAATGTATCGACGATTTTTTTACAGATTTGTGACGAAACGCTACTTTTTATCTCGTTGCCCGCATAAAATTAATCCACAGATGATACGTGACAATGCCCATCTTGCCGTGTGGTATACGTATACAAGCCTATTTACAGGTCCAATTGTGAATAGATGCCCTCAGCTGATTCATGCGTTCATTAGTTGCAGGCAAACGGGACAAAAATTCATCGTTCAAAGACCTTAGCTGCACACAAATGTCTTAAGAAACCATAGCAAAAGGTCACTATGGAAAATATTATAGGTTCATAAATGCGTGTGGTGCCAGTCGAGAAAATATTATCGACAATTGAGGTTTTTATCATGCCTTACCTGAGACTATCATATAATCATAATCATATATAGTGAGAAACAGCCTGTGACTCAAGCTTGGCGGACACCATAGATCATAAGCTTTGAAAAAGGTTCAGTTAGTTAGAAACTCAATTTATTTAGGAAGTATCATAGCGTTCAATGGACATAGTAGCAAACTCAAGCGCAAGGAGTCTTGAGCAGGTAATCTGGTCTATTTACATTGAATTTGTCTATGTTTGTGCTCACGTATATTATTAGCTTCAATAAATAGCGCACATCTAAAGAAGGATGGCTATCATATACTGGTAAACACCTATAGATTACCCTGTTCGTTTTACAACGGTTAGCAGATTAAGTGAAATAATGGCAGATCGGTGTCGTTAGCAGCTATCTTCTATCTTATGAAAACAATCAATCATTGTCTCTGGACGACCGCTGCAGAACACAATTTCCCATATTATGGTTACGTCTATAAAATTTGTTTCATGAAAAACATAAACTACATGTTCAACGCAGATATCGAAATAAGCAGCCGTCAGCGGGCACCAGAAAAAAAGCTAAGACGTACATGGCATTCGATTGTACCGTCGTACGTAGCTCGTAGCAGATAACAAGCAAGCTCCTGCCACTGCAACTACTTATACTCAAATATGGGTTAGATATAACGATAACCCATATATTGGCTATATGTGCAGCGGGTATGCGTGAATCTGTCGGAAACAGCTTACAGTTATTTTGGTCGGTACGCAGCCATTGATAGCTGGCTGGCTGGCTGGCTGACATGAGCCATTGTCTCTCTTTAAAACTAGCTATGCATCAGCAGCAACCTAAGTCATTGTCGCACTTAGTTATGTGATAGGAAAGCTCGCATAGACATTTTCTGAAGAAGCAATGTGATCTTCGCTGTAACTATCGCCTGTCAAATGGACCTGTGGACCAATTTCTGAGAACAAGTGAACGATGCGTCGATCGAAAAATGGAAGCTTGGTTATAACAAACTACATTCTGCCATTCCATCGACACCACTTCACTGGCTGCACTTTGGATTTGTAGCCAATGCCTTTAAGAAAAACTATCCAGCTAATTATTTCAGACATCGAACAACCATCTAGTAGCTATTGCACTATTGATGAGTGAACCTTTCATCATGACTCGAAAATAGGCTCAACAGCAAAGAAAAACGATCTGGAAAAGAAAGCCCGAGAGAAAGATAGATAGATAGATAGATAGATATTGAATGAAAGCTTTCTATTCCAGGAACTATCTGTAGTAGCTGGAAGAAATTGATTACGCTTGCAAGGTGTCTTATTAAGCGCGAACGTTAAAAGACGTAAGGCCCGTTAAGTAAAATAAGCTAGAAGCTAGAAATGTGGCATGAGCAACACGCTTTAGGGGAGAAGAGAGCTAATTTGCTTGTTGCAAAAATTGATAAGAGGATCCAATTAGATTTTGCTTCCGCTGTCCATAAACAAATATTTCCAGGGCTCTTCAATAGAAGGAAGAAAGTGATTAAGCAAGACGATGAAGGCATTCTAACTGTCCGTGTTCGACGACGGGGAATAACGTGTACTGCCTCGTGTGATAACCTCGATTAAATTGTAGAGAAGGTAAAAGTGAGCTAAAGCCCACTTAAACGGTTTCATTTGCAGGCGGACGTAGCGATAGTTTTGTCTTTTGCCCGGGTCATCAAAAATCGTTTTATCACGGTCGGGTGAACTTTCAACACTACCTTCGGACTATTCAATCCTAGCCAGAAATCAATTATGTCTACGCTATAGACAATGGCAATAAAGAGCCGAAATATAAACACCAATATTTAACACAGAAGCGGTATTTTTTCTTTGTAATCATAAACATTTTGCATAGATATGCGCCGAGCTATATATAAGCTCGTATTTATCGAGACGCTGACAGCACTTCAATAAGTTCGAAAGTTTTTTCAAGTACTTTACTGTCCACTATTATCGCATGCTAACGCAGGTTAGTGGACGTACGAATCTATAGGCTGTATTTTTACCACCAACTGGTTAAACTGTTGATAAACTACAAACATCCCATCAACAGTTTATTGCTAACGTACGGCTCCTGGTTGTCTCGTAAGCTGAACAGACGATCATCGAAATCAATAGATAATCAGCTTACAATGCTGTCCACGTAAACCGCTAACTTAGAGCTTCGAGTTTAGACAAGATGTAAACAAGAGTGAACGTACAGACAACACGTTTCATTCTATCACCCAATAGGAATATCATGTATCTATCACACATTGGCCGCCCTCCTATCGTTTACGTAACTTAAAAGTAAACAACAGTAGAGTGTGCTATGAAGGAATAGTAGACGCAAATACGAAACGCAGCCGAGCAATAAGAAAATATTGTGTCTGTGTTTGTGCGTTCACCGATCGTAATTGTCATCGATCTCCTTAAATATCTTGCTCATATAGATGGTCAGCTTGTACATTCGTAGTCATTACGTGGCCATTTTTTGTGGTTAGGATTGCCAGCTTTCTTGCATTCGATAAAGCAGTAGTACGAACAAGCCCAGTTTAGATAAAATGATGACATCGATAGGACCGACAACATGGATAAGAAGATATATTTATGAAAAATTGTTGGCATCGTCTTTGCTACATCGGCGACGGTCTTGCTGTGCCGTTTCGTACTCACCACACAATAATAACAACAACAACAGCACAAGCAGGAGGAACGGCGAAGCTATTGGCAATAGTATATTATCTATCACCTTGGAAACAAATGTGCCAAGCACAGTTTGATCTCGACGGCTACTTGAACGCTAACGGGCCGCTATATATATATGTAGCCGTTCGAATGGGCATGTGGACGTATATTCAAATTTCATATATGGTAAACTATTTACATGTTAGAATGCGTACAAAAATATGACCTTATGGCAATAATAGCAGTCAGCAACAAGCTTGTAGCAAAGACGGCGCATGTGTTTAAAAAACCTCAGGGTTAAAAAAGAGCTACATTTCTAAAAAGCTCTGAATTTTAGCTCATCCGGAGAAATGCGGTGCTGGGTAACGACAGTCTGTTCGCTTCGAGTGGTGACCAAATGTAAAACAAGTACTGTTTAATTCAAACGTTTCTGGTCTAATAATTTCCAGTGTGTGGTAAGCGCTGGAGATAGCGCAACTTCGCCCTTAGGAACAGTTAGTTCTAGGATAGCTTGCTTGATCCTAATGCTATGCGCTACAATATAAGCACCTAGTCCGACTTTGACAGAAATAAAACTGGTCATAAATAAATATCTGAAAAAAAGCTCGTTATGCCGTATCCTTATGAAGTTGCTCGGACGTGCCAGGACATCCTCTGATCAGCAGTTTACCTGAAACTAAAGACAAGGCTGTTAATTAATAGTGAATTGCAACATTGTTACGAGCTACATCCCTGAACAAATGTTCATCCACTAAATGATTTCAAAAAGCTAATTTCGTATATATATATATATATATGT